TAATTTTAACGTTTTCTCCCATTAATTAGGTGTGTGACCTGGAACAGGTTATTTAACATTTGCAACTGTTGGTTTTTCTGGACACAAAACGATGGCTCCAGAATAGGGTTTCTTTAGAGTTCTTACCAGCTTTTGCGCGGTATTTCCAAGACTGCACAATTATAAAGTTAAGTCCGAGCCCAGTGCTGCCATCGTGTGGTAGGTACAGTGATAGCCTTGCATATTTAAGTTAGGAAGAGTAAAGAACCAACTGAGCAAACTAATTGAAGACAGATGTGCAGTCAAAGAGACACCACCAGATTTAATTAAGGTTAGCCACAGTGGAGTAATAAAACACAATAATGTCTAACCGTCTCGCAGCCAAAGAAAAGAAAGAGGTCAAAGAATAATTTAAAACAGATTGCATTGCCTCACAGAAGATAAAATTTGTTTACCTGAAATGCCCCCTCAATAATGAAGTCACAAAAATACATCAACATTGTTAGATTTATTATTCCAGGGCACAGGATTCTTTCTATAAAAGTGAGCTTATTCCAACATTTATTTAAAGCATCCATCTTTCCTCTAATTGGTACTTCACCGTACACTTAATATTTCAAAAAGAAAGTAGACACAAAAAAGGTAACTGATAAAAAATGTAACTGAAAAAAATATTTATTATAAGGAAAAACCCTCAATTATTTTGTAACATAAACATTTTCACACGGAATACACAGGTGCCCAATACATTCATGAAGAATTAGCAGAGGTAGAAGTTATTATACATATTATTCTATTTTGTCACTCCAATTTATTTTATATATATATATATATATAACGTTCATGGTTATGAACTTTAGTATTCAGCATATTAATTCTATCCTTCAATCAAATTTGGAGAAATTGGAATTAAAAAAATCAAGTTGAGTCATTACATTTTTCTACACGTTATGACAGATTAAAATGGTACTCTCTGACTTTAAAAGCTAAAAAAGAAATTTACTTTTCAAAAGTTTTTGACAAAGAACACACACACAAAAACACTCCCAAACCAAATGGCCTTCTTGATTAGAGATTTGTATAAACCGCAAAACTAGGTAAGAAATGAGAAGAATAAATATATTATTGTTATTATTATTTATTCATTAAATATTATTTGAACATGGATGGTTCCAGGACAAGGTTTTAGGAGGTTACCAAGGAGCAAATGTGGGCTCTGCTTTCAATCATGATGAGCGTGTAGTAATGACACAAAAATAAAAAGTCGTAATTTCCATAAAAGATACACAGATCATGTGTTATAAAGATCCACATTGAGGAGAGACCACTTACACTTAGGAGTGGGAGGAAAATGCATGAAGTGGGTGATATTTGAGGAAGGCCTTTACAGATAAATTTCATTTAGACAGAAAAAAGTCATGTGACAAGCTAGGGTTTACTTAGTAAAGGAGAAGAAAGCCCACCAAGGGAATCCAGGGGGGTTGGTCTGAACGGGCTGCAACGTAAAGTACAGGAAGGAGATTACAGTCGATGCGTTTGGGAAGGAGCAGCCTGCTGACAAACGTTGGGAATTTTGCTGAGATTAGTAGATGTCTTAAAATTACCTAAAATCCAGCTTCAAATATTAAGATCCTAAAGTGCTTTATTTGTTAAAATGTTTGACATTGTGCACATTTAACTCAATTTAATAGAAGGGATGCTTCTTACTTGAGGTCCGTTCAAGGGAAAGAAAGGAGTAAATACACATATTTTAAGTATCTGGAAAAGAACTATTTAAAAGCATGGATTCTTAATACCGGTTTATCAAAACCTCTGCATTTCTTTCTGTTTTATCACATTTTATGCTATGTAGGTGCACCATGGTAAAAGGAGAAGACTTTTCTTCATTTTAATTTAATTCATTTTCAGAAACTAACCGAATATCAGGCTATCTATCTCAACACTATACTTAGATACCAGGTTAAGAAGAAAATATTTAATCATCCACCAGGCGTTTTGTAATAGTGCTACCAAACATTTAGATTTACCTAAATTATTCACCTAACTTCTGATTAAAATTTCTATGCACGCAACCTTATTTTGCTGAAATATTACATAGATTTATCCCTCTATGGCAGGAGTCCTCAAACTTTTTAAACAGGGGGCCAGTTCACTGTCCCTCAGACCGTTGGAGGGCTGGACTGTGGGCCCTGGGATGAGCCAGCTGCTAAACAGGACAGGCAGCATTGGCAAAAACAACTGGTAGGCCAGATAAATGTCCTAGGCGGGCGTGGGCCGTAGCTTGAGGATACCTGCTCTATAGGATATGTATACGTGTGTGTGTGTGTGTGTGTGTATACCCCCTAGATTTGGTTTTATTTTTCTTTTATATCTTTTATAAAATATTATTTGTTCGCATTTAAAATTTTGACAACAGATGCAAGACTTCCCAAATGAGATTTCTATTCAAGGAGATAGGCAAGAAGAAAAAAAAATTGTCTTCCCTAAAATCTATTTCTAGCTTCATTTCATTCCTCTTAGTATATTGTTTTACATTCTGTCCCTATTCCTCAAATTTCCCAGAAGAAGAATAGAAGTAAAAAATTGCTTCAGGTAAAACCAAAGTTGACTATTTTGAAATGTAAATAATAAATCATTTTTGTAATGCAGCTATTCTCATTTGTTGTGACATCATTCAAATGGAAATTACTTTAATTTACTAAATATAAATTAATTAAATATTTGTATATTAATTAATGTTTATCTTTGAAGAGGATATATTGAGATCTTCCAGTTGATAAAATTAATATCCTCCATTCAATCAGCATCACACTCAAAATATTAAGAATCCAGATGATTGGATTATATAATGCCAATCAAAAAAACAGGATATCTTTCCTTTGTTTATAATCATTGACTGATTCATTCTGCAGCTCGTTATGCTGTTTAATCTACTGTACACATGTTCTTAATTTTATATTACACTAATTTCACATTTTCTTTTTTTGAGACACAGTCTCACTTTGTCTCATAGAGTGCTATGGCATCACAACTCACAGCAGCCTCAAACTCTTAGTCTCAAGCGCTTGTCTTGCCTCAGCCTCCTGAGTAGCTAGGACTACAGTCACTTCCCACAAGGACTGACTGGCTATTTTTAGAAACAGGGTCTCTTTCTTGCTATAGCTGGTCATGAACTCCTGAGCTCAAGCAATCCACCTGCCTTGGCCTCCCAGAATGTTAGGATTACAGGCATGAGCCACCGTGCCTGGCCTGCTTTCACATTTTTTAAATTATCCTGTAAAAAATATTTTCTTTAATATCATACACCAATTGGGTTTCTTCTACCTAAGTCGAAGAAACATTAAAGAAACATAACTCTTCTCTGTTTCTCTAAATCGAGTCCTATGGGTTATTGGTAAATTCTCATAGGCAACTTATGACAGCTTTCATTTTCTAAATAGCTGCTTCCAACTTGTAGTATCTGATATATAATTGACCGTTACAAATGTCTTTCTTATTTCACTGCTTTGGGGAAGCAATCCTATGGTCACTAGAACAAATGTGAAAATTCCTTTCGACTTTAGAGAATCTACTATTGGTGAAATGGAAGAAAGGAAAAAGCTAAATCCTTTGCAAGGCATGATCCTAGCTACCCTGATGGTGAATGTTCTGTCCTCAAATAGTTCCTAACAAAGTGTTTATATTTTTTATATTATTTGGTTATATTGGTTAAAATTCTCCTACCAGATTAAGAATCATTGTGTTTTATGTATATATGCTTAGGAAATATGTAGGTATCTTAGCATCCTGGAATGAGTATCAACCATTCACCCAGTAGTATGAATCTATCCAACTGGCTAATAAACTCCTGATGGAACAGGGATGCATTCGTGAAAAGAAACTCTAAGTAGCTTTGCAGCTTAGAACACATCTAGATTTAGAAGTGAACCAAGGTACTATGTAAGCTCAAAGACTCTAGGAAACAGCCATTGAGTATAATCCCCTAAAGAAGTGGTGGGTACAGCACTGGGTTCCTGCTGTATCTCACTCCTTATATTCATAGTCTTACGAGGTATACATTACTATTTCTACTGTTTTCAAATGAGGAAAGACACAGTTACTACAGAGAAGGTTGGGATTCAAAACCAGATCAATATAACCAAAGTTCATGCTCTCTGGGAGAAGACAAATACCAACAACTTCAAAACCTTACCAGAGAAACCTCCCCAGTAACACAGGAGGAAACACTTGCCTTCTATAACTTGCTTTGAATCAAAACTTTTCCTCAAATCTCCTATAAACTTATACATTTCTAACAATATTAATACTCTACCCCACTACATATTTATACCACAAAATGTATAATGTTTCTACAGGAATATGGATTCTTATATTCAAATATCACACTTAATTGTTTAAACAAAAGTCCCAAAAGTCCCAAGCATAAACTAGGAAATGCCTTAGGGGAGACAAATACCTTAAAATTTTAACAACCTGCTGGAGAATAGTAGAGTTACATACAATCAAGCACAGAATTTTTAATCAGTTCTTGAAAATGTCTATTCTATTTTGCATCTTTTGCTCCTGAAAGGAAAAACCGATTATTGGTTATTAACATGAAAAATAATTTAGCAGTTTCCTTTAAACTGCTATTTCTATCTACTCAAGGCTTTCTAAACTCTTTTCCCTGATAGAGCCAAAATGCTTCCTTGTTTGCCATAACACTATTGCAACACTGTACAAATAAACCACAAAAACAACAAACTAGAGCAGTTCCATACTATTTAACCACCTAAAAATTAAATGGGTTTTGTCCTAGAAGCGATCATCTTCCTTTAGATCCAATAAAAACAGTAATTTAGCATTGCCACTGCGCACTATCAGTTAAGGGAGTGAAAATAGAAGGCAGGTGAGGAATGTGGGGTTCTTGTGACAGCTGTTTCTTTATACATGGAAATTAGGAAAACGTATAATTATGCATTGGAAGATCAGTCTGAGCTTCGTTTATTGACTGTGATGTTGACTCTTCCCACACCATGCAGCAAAGCCCACCAATCACCGGCCTGCAGAAAGCTCCGTGTCCACCGGCTCCTCGGGCAGCAGCTTTGGCAGTGGGTATAGCGTGGACAGTGAAGGCAGCAGCAGCACTGCAGGGGAGACTAATCTATTTCCTATTCCAAGGATGTAAGTGGGTCTCTCTCTCTCTCTCTCTCTTTTTTTTAACTACACAGCATCATGAGTAAGGAATTCTTAACGTGTAACAAGAATTATCTAGATAGTTATCCAATTCTGAGTCATTGCCCCTTGCACACTTGAACTGTTTATGACTACATAAAGATAGATTATTCAGGAAAGATTAGATTAATTTGGTTAATTCTAAGGATGAATGATAGTCACTGCCAGGACTGCTTAATGAGTGCCATCTGTATTTCATATAAAAAACTGCTACAAATAATAACTTAGCCATGCCAGAATAAAGTTCAGTTGTACCTTAATGTTTTAATCATGTAATGTCCAAAGACAAACATCATCTATTTGAGACAGACCTGGATTGATTTACTTTGAATTGGGAGAGATGTAAACATATTCAAAGAACCTATAAATCGTATTTGAAATAGATGATACATTGGCTAATCATATCGCCTTTTCTACTATAAATCTCTTTACAATTAAAATGAAAAGTGTTGAAGTGTTTCTATACTTTCTAGAACAAATATCAAACAGTACATACATCTCTAAGGAGGTGCTCTTGGAATAAAGCTCATTCATAATGTATTAAACCTCATAAAAGTCATTTTGCAAACCCAATGCAAAACTAAAGCAGATTGTGTTTAGAATGTGTTAGGATATCTTTAATCATATTGGTGGCAAAATTTAGCAGCATTCGAGATAAATATGAAGGGTATGTCTGTTCCAATATCAAAATCTAAACCCCCCACCCTTTCCATCTGTGCTCCATTAACTAGTTTTCCAGGTTTTGAAAACACCACTGGGCCAGCCAGGGCCACCACCTGGTTTTGCAAGGCCTGTGAGCTAAAAATGACTTTTGCATTTTTAAATGTTGGAGGGAAAATGTTTTGTGACATGAAAACTGTATGAAATTGAAATTTTAGTAAACATTAAGTTATATTAGAATACGGTCACATCCATTAGCTTTGTGTTACCTGTGGTTACTTTCGTGGTAGTTACGAGGGAAGAACTCAGTAGTTGTAACAGAAACCGTCTTAAATATTCACCACCTGGCACTTGTTCAAGGGTCTCTTTTAATTTTGCTTCAATGCCCAGTGAAGCATTCTCAGGGAGTGAAATTTCTATTTGTCCTTATTTTAATATTCAGATTTCATTTTGATTCTGCAGTGATTGTAGTATTTAGACAATGGTTCAGTTTATAAAAGCAAAATAAGGGAAATTGATTTTTATAGTGAAAAATCTTTTTTGTGGGTTTGAAGTTACATCTTTTAAAACAATCTTTTGAACATTGTTATTATATCTATCTGAGTTTTATTTATGAGACTTAGACTATGGATTTAATAGCTATTTGCACATATTCAATTCTATTTGTTCTTTATCAGTTCTGGGAATTATTTTTATAAGAAATCTAATCACATGAGTCATTGGTCTCTGCTGATCCAATTTGACCAAAAAGAATTTTAGTAATTTCATGACATTTCTCTCTAAGCTGTGAATAGTATATGAATTGATGAAGGTTTTGCACATCAGATATTTGGATAGCCTTTCAATTTATCTATGTCTTTCAAAATGTAAAATTTAATATTAATAAGTTATAACTTCCAGAGAGTGAATTACGTTATTTTGTCAGTATCTCAGTGTCTAAGGTAGAAGGAGATTCTGTACTTTTGACATACAGACCACATTCAGTTTCATTTCTTCTTGTTTTCCTGTTTCTCCTGTAAATCAAAGCCTCTCAAACTATATAGGATGCTCTGCTTTGTCCTCTGAACACACCCAAAAGATTCACAGGACATACGTATGAAACAGCACTTTATATGCTCCACTGTGTCTAACCCAGGCAGCGATGGGGCTACTATGTGTTCGATAGATACATATTTGATAATTGGCTAAAAAATATAAACTATGTGATCATAATGTTCTGAGTTTCAACCCACAGTTACATCTTCCTTGGATTTTTTTTAGTTTCGAAATACTGCCAAAAGTTTTCTGTATGATTGGCGCCTGTGGCTCAAGGGCAGGGTGCCGGCTCCATATGCCAGAGGTGGTGGGTTCAAGCCCAGCCCTGGCCAAAAGCAAACAAACAAAAAAAAATTTTCTGTATGATCTTCAAAATGTACTTACTATACACTTTGGCTAAGTAGCTAACGTTAAAATCAGTTTTCATTACACTGTAGTCAGATATCACTCTTAAATTATAAAATCTAGAACTCAAGAACTAAATGAAAAATTGTCAAAGTTTAATAACATTATAATTACTAAAATGATAACTGCTTTTTAAGATTTTGTGATAGTATAAAGTTGGCGATTTTTCAGTACTCTGATCTGCTAGGTCAGCAGCACTAAAACACGCTTATTTCAATTGAGTCTGGCCCAGTCACGAGTGTGGAGTTTGCTTTACTGCATAGCGTACTGGTAAAAGTAAAATAATTACTGCTACATTATTATGCTTCTCTTCCTCTCTAGTACTAACAGAGTGGAGTTCATTATTTTCAGCTTAACTACTTGTCTTGAACCTCAATAAAGCAATTACACACATTAAAGTTTTATGCATTGCTTAGGTAGATCTATATTCAGGTGTAGATCATGTATATTGTAAAATGTTAGATATTGTAGAATTTGCACATACTTGGTCCTACACATAATCACCAATAAAAATTTGTGCTTAAACCTTTAACTTAGAATTGTCATACTAGAACAATAGAATGACTTTCAAGATAGAGTAATTTTTGAATTTACGTCTATGCCTCTTTCATGATGTACAGAAACACTTCAGCATCTTCTCTGAAGCAGAATGATAAAGAGGATCTTTAGAGCAGTTTTCAAGTAAGACATAATTGGATTCTTAACAAATAAATATGGTGACATTTTCAGCTGGTCCCCAAAACCAAATACTTTTGTGCACGTCAGAATTAATTATTAGTAAATCCTATTGCATTAGCATTGCTGGCTACAAAGAACAGCTCAGGATGTACTTTTGTCCAAGCACACTTATTAACTCCCTCTTTTTAGAGCATCTTATCTAAGTATATATGCAGGCCAATGACAAAATCTTTCATATGCCATGGTTTTTACTCTGGCTGAAGAAATAAGAAGTGACCTATGAGCTTTCGGCTGTTTCATTATCAACCTTCTAAACTCACAATTCTCAGTTTCATGAGTTCTTCATCTACTTGTCTTTCCAAAAAGTTACAGGCTGAAACTGAAAGTGAATAGCAGATTTGGCCTAATTCTGAAGCTATGATGAGCACACTTACCTATTAATGGGTCATATTTATTGAATGCTTATAAATGCTCAGGTACTGTGGTTTTTTCACGATCAAAAGGTAGCCTATATTACTCTCCTCATATTATAAAAGGAAGAACAGTCTCAAGCAGGTACTTTGCCTTGGATTCACATAGCAAGACACAGCAATGCCAGAAGCAGAGAGCAAGAAGTCTGACTTCAAACTGCAGGCAGCTCAACACAGATGAAAACCCAGGAAGGCTATGAAAAGAAATCACTAAGTGAAACAAACAGAATAATCTGTTACTACATTATTTTTATATGTTATTTAATCCAATATTTCCCTTCTCGCCAAAGAATCTTTAACAACTCATCTTACAGAGTTTAAGGACATTTATACTCCTTCTCACTTCTTGAATTAAAAATGTGAAAACAATTATAAAATGCAATTTGGAAATTAATTGGTGGTCTGATTTTTTGATAAGTGAGTCTACAAATAAGATTTACTGAATTTGGGGGTATTTCATTCAGACGATATAAGAATAATAAACAATTTACCATTTTAAAATTAGCATGATATAGAGCGATTAGCTGTGTGTATATTAGCCATCCAGGTCATTTACTGCAAGTCTGAATATATAATAGGATTTTATTTTTGCAAACTTAGTCTCCTTATTTGCATTAAGAAGATCATAACTGAATGCATCATCTTATTTTCTTTTTAAACAGAGGGAAAATGGGACAGAATGGACAAGAGCCTGTAAAACAGCCAGGGGTTGGAGTCGGACTAACAGACACCGAAGGTAAGTTAACATTTACCATGTTGGACTTAGAAGTGTTGTCTGTAGAGCTGACAGTGTTTGATTTTTTTTTTCTTAACATTAATTTAAATGTCAACTTCCTCTTGGCCAAGAAGGAGTCCAGTCAGTTGCTGAGTGGGAGACCCTTAAGATTTTATAAACCTAAGGTCAGAACAAGTGAAAATGACACCAAATGTCATGCTATTCAAAAGGATGATTCTAGGTACGGTATCACAAGAGCACTGAACATGGAAACAGGCAAAAGTACCAGATAGTATGTCATTATTGTCCATTAAATGAGAACATGGTATTTATTTAACAATTTCCCAATTCTTCCATTTATATTTAACATTTACATACCTTGGGATAGTAAATATTTGAAAGGGAAAGAAGAATGAGAAGGATGAAGCGATGAAGGATGAGAAGGAGAGACTGAAAAGATTTTCTCAGGGAAAAACAATTTTTCCTTGAAATCTTAAAATATGTTTTGTTTAAAGTATGCAAATAAAAAAATGCAAAACCATGCAAATAAAAAAATCATTCATAAAAACGTCATTTTAGTCCATGGAAATACTTAAACATTTGAATCTGAGAAGAAACAAATTATAAAAATAGCATTTTACAGAAATATTAATTACTAAGCTACTTATTAAGTAAAAACTTGAAATTAAATGTGAAGCTCAGTGCCTGTAACTCAGCGGCTAGGGCACTAGTCACATACACTGGATTCAATGTGTGTGAATCTAGCCGGGACCTGCCAAACAAACAATGACAACTACAATTACCAAAAATAGCCGGGTGTTGTAGCGGGCACCTGTAGTCCCAGCTACTTGGCAGGCTGAGGCAAGAGAATTGCCTAAGCCCAAGAGTTTGAGGTTGTTGGAGCTGTGATGCCACAGCACTCTACCCAGAGCAAAAAAAAAAAATTAAAATTAAAACCCATAAAAAAGGAAATTAAATTTGAACACCAATTTTAAAAGTGTAGTTTTATCAAACAAACAGTAAATTATTACAAAACAAAAAAAAAAATTAACTTGAGTGAACACACTTACAGTATCCCTAAGCTGCCTATCGACTAGATTATCCTTTGTAATATTGGGATAAAATCTGCCAGTGTGTTATCCTTCATGAATTGCACCAATCTCTCAATAATTTTAACTATTCTAAGTACTTTACAATATTTTAAGTACTTCTCATGTATCTCATTTAATTCTTATGTCGATGGAAAAGAAGCCATATTCTGTAAAATAATTTAAGGAGATTTATTCTGAGCCACATTTGAGGACCGTGACCTAGAGCCACAACCAAGGCTTGTGCAAGTGGACCTGAGGCTGAGGGATTACACTGGGTTTTATACATCCTAGGGAGCAGGGAATATAGGTGAGGTAATAAATCAATATGAGAAAAACATACATTGGTTCGACCCCAAAAGGTGGACATCTAGACGCCCAAGATTACAGGTAATATGTGAGTTTAAAGATTCTTTAAGAGACAATTGGCTGAAAAAGTTAGGCTCTGTCTAAAAGACCAGTAAAAGGGGATGCTTAAGATAAAGGGTCTGTTAATCAGACCCAAAGTATCAGACATGCTAAAGTGTTTTTTTATGTATATTGAGGATGGACCTGCAGTTAGGTCTTACAAAGCCTTAGGCCAGTTAGTGAGTCACAAAGGATGTCTCTAAGAAGGGGAGGGGGCATGGTGAGGAAGGTCTGGTCTCTTTTCCCATGGCTAGCAACTTCCTCTTGGCCAAGAAGGAGTCCAGTCAGTTGCTGAGTGGGAGACCCTTAAGATTTTATAAACCTAGGTCAGAACAAGTGAAAATGACACCAAATGTCACGCTATTCAAAAGGATGATTCTAGGTACGGTATCACAAGAGCACTGAACATGGAAACAGGAGAGGAGTTTCGATTCTGGTCTGTAACCAAGTGTGTGACCTTATTTCTCTGTAGGAGAGAGAAATTCTGAATTCATGTGTTGCTTGAGTTTTCTCATGTGCTTAAGTGGATACCACAATTTTCTGGTTCTACTCAAAATCCTCAATTCTTTTTTAGACTCCTTCACAAACTGTTCCTTCTGCCTGTCGCTGTTTTCCCCAGAGTTCCACCCTCAATCCGAAAATCCAAGTGCCCTCTCTCTGCATAAACTCATCCACTCCTTTTTATATGTTGAGTAGTCCGAATCTATTGCCTGGAATTCAGACTCAAATAGTTAATATCTATCAGGTATTTGTGTCCAACCAGGAAATAGAAACCACTCTGAATATTTAAAGTAGAGCAAGTGAGCAGCTGGCAATTGATTATCTTCTCCTGAAAGAGGCTGAGAAACTGAGTGGGGGATAGTGAAGCAACAGAAGGAAGCTCCTGTCCCCTGGAGCCAGTGGGAGTTGAAACCAGGACAAGCTGAGAGCAAGAAACAAAAATGAGATCTAGCAAATGCCAGGAATACATCCAAGATAAACACGGATGGGGAGACATATCCTGGTTTCTTCTCCCCAGCTCCCATTCTCGAATCTCTGTCAGTGCCTGATCAAATCTGGCTGTAAGCCAGTTGACAGGGAAGCCTGGGAAACAGCGTGGGGGGAGGTTACTCGGAGAAGAGAGCCAGGGAAAGGCTGCCCAGAAGATGCATCTGGTCAGCACAGTATATTTTACCTGGGTGTATCAAACTACTTATGCCCTGCACTAAATTTACCTTCTTCGCCATTTTAGCTTATTTTCCTTCGATGGGCTTCTACAATTCACAAAATTTGCACTAATTTATATGGTATTTTGTATACCTTATCATTGTGCTTTGATTTAAATCACCTCTCCCTATGCTTATGTCTTCCATGAAGCTGAACAACTTTCACACCAAAGATATGGTGTATTTATCTTGCTATCCTTGCAGATAGCCTGTGCAAAGAGTTGCTTGAAAATATTTGTTGCGTACATGAATAGCCAGTATGATGGTATGCGTAATTTATACCTACTGGTTTTCATCTGACTCTAGAGTTCGTATAGAGAGGGAGGCAGTTGATGCAAGTTATAGGTACTTAATTTCACCTTTCTTTTAATCTTAACATTTATAAATAAAATTGTTTTGGATAAATGTTAACAGCTGTCAATGAATAGAAATTGTTCATCCTAATACTACTTTCTTCTTTCACATCAGTCCCACACAAAACACGCTTGCTTTCCAAGAAGGAGCCAATCAGAGCCTTCTTTATTTTTGTTTAAACTCATGAGTCAACGTGTTTATGTGCTAGTAAAATGGCCCAGATCAACAGCTGATCTCAAATTAGTTATGGAGCAGAGGGGTAAGGGTTGATAACGGGAATGAGATAGAATATGTAATTTAATGTGAGTAATTTATAGTAATGTGCCCTTATGTAGCCATATTTTGGACGAGTTGTTTTTGATTGAATTACTCCTGGTGTTTGACAATAATCAACTGTCTGACTTACATGTCCATACGAAGATAGACATGAGTAGTGTAGATGTATAAAGGATAGTTACTAACATGAGCAAGAGGATGCAACATATTAAACCTTCAGAAACAATTTTAAATGAGAGGAAATATATAAGCAGAGTGAGGAGAAATGATTAAATCAAAAGTTTTTTTTTTGTTGTTGTTCTGAGCAAATAGGAGAAGACATCTATTTAAAGTATAAACTTTGTCTACAGGAATATGGAATCAGCTTTGTGTTGTCCTTGAGACATATGATCTATATTGTGTTTGTTTTGAGTGATCTAGAAAATTACCTTCAATTTATTTTGTTGTCAGTCGACATATACAGTCAATTTAATGAGAAAATAAAAAACCAAGAGTCCATTCAATTTGTTATTTGACAAAATATAGTTTTCTGATTGTATTTTTGCTCCTTTCATCTCTTCTTCAGGGCCTCAGAGACACAGTGTCTCTACGTAGATATCAATTTTCTTGAAATTGTATATCTCTATGATGTTCCACCTCATTTGGAGTATTTCATATTATTCATTCAAGCATTTTGTTTTATGAACACCTTAGTCCACTCTAAGGGATATGATCTAAAAAGATTTGCTCTAAGACAGTATCCTTAAATCCAAAGTATAACATAGATTTTAAGTGATCTTTCTTAGACAGTTCATCTGCATAAAATTTCTTATTCTTGTTTCGGCTTCATAATATGCAGAATGGAAAGGGTGATACCTTATGGGTTGAAATTTTCTTTTGAGCATGTTATCGAAACCATGTCCTTACTATTAAATAGCCATGTTCTTATTCAACTTATTTAGCAAGCCTATTCATTCTGTAGCTTCTGATTTCATTCTAGCTTCTGATTTTAAAGAATCATTTTTTCCACTTAGTCATTTTCTTTAATGATGTTTCACTTTCTTGACAGCAGTGGCTCATGAATTTTAATACCACCAGGAGATTAATTCAACAGATCAGAATGTGAAATCTATGAAATGTTCTGGGGTTCTGACCTAAGTTGCAGCAGAAAATAATACTCTCAATAGCAATAAAAAATTAAAGAAAATAATACTCTTTTGGACTGTCGCCAAAAGATAAAAGATTTTACATTTAATTAAATAATTTTAAATTTTATTAATTACCTCATGTAAAGTGCACATTAGCACTGTGTTTGGCACATGGTTAAAACTATTTAAGTTGTAGCTTATTAAATAGAAGTGAATATGAAAGAGTCATTTGGATGCCATCTCAGGGAGTAATATTTAGGATTGATAAAATATTGTGTGCTTGTTGAAAGAGCTATATACGACAACTTTCCCCTAAGATTTAATGAAACTAATTAGACTCTCCAAATGTACAGATGAGTGTCTTTTCAAGTTACATTAAAAACTTCTAATTACATTCTTAAGATAGGCTATCTGCCCCCCTTCTGCATTTTGTCCCATTAGTTAGATGTATTTAATATGCTTTATTTTGCCAGCAGGCAACTATGTAGTAGCTCCCTTGACCCAATTATTCTCTTAAACCAGGTGTTCACAAACTTTAGCAAGCATTACAATCACAGCTTTGC